ACCCGCATGGGAGACCTGGAGAAGTACCTGGCTCCTGGCTTCGGATCAGCGTGGTGCGCCGGCCGCAGCGGCCACTGGGGGGTGAACCAATGGAAAAGGAAGACCTTTCTCTCTCTCTCACTGTCCACTCTGCCTGTCAAAAAAAATAAAAAATAAAAAAACTTTTAGAAAATTTGTTTGGAGTCTTAGAAGTGTGGGATGTTTTATCTGGCTTTTTAACCATGGTCACTGAGCAAGAGTGCCTCACTCCTGTTACATAGGGAACTAGCATTTTTGATGTATTGCCAACTTTTAATGATTAAATATTCCTATGGAATGTAATAGAAATAAAACAGAAGAAAAAATTTCATGAATTCTAAAAAAAATTAAAGAAGTAGGTAGATGAATTATATGTTTTTAAGCTACTCTTGCCAGATCTTTGCAGAGCTGAGTCGGACAGAACCTACAGCACCCCCCGGAGGCTCTTGTGAGCTTTTACCCTGTGATACTGAAGTATTGGCGAGAGGGGGTAGCTGAGATGTTAGCCTAAGAAGACAAGGTGGCGCAGTGAGGTCAGTCCCCACTTGGGACATTTGTCTCTCATATAGATTGCCTAGGATCGAGTCCTGCCTCTGCTTCTGATGCAGCTTCCTTCTAAGGTGCACCCTGGGAAGCATCAGATGATAAATAAGGCACTTGGGTCCATGCCACCCACATGGGAGACCCAGCTGGAACGCCAAGCTCCGGACTTTGATGAAGTGCAGCCCCAACTGTTGTAGGCATTTGGGGAGTGAAGCAAAGGATAGAAGATCTCTTTCTGCCTTGTGAATAAATAAATAAACAAACAAACAAACAAATAAATTTAGGCTTTTTAAAGAAAACATGTCAACCTTGGGCTTAATTGGATAACTGGCTGGGGTTTTCCACCCATTAAGTTTTCTTCATTCTTTCTTTTTGTCAAAGCATAATTCACGGTGGTAGTTTTCCAAGTGTGGCTTCATGATTTCTTTCCTGTATTTTGTCAAGGATAAAACCGGTTAGAATTATAAAAGGTTATTTTGGGCATTGTGGTGTAGTGGGTTAAGCTGCTGCCACTTCAGTGGGTCCCAGTTGGAGTCCCAGCTACTCCGCTTCTGATTTGGTCCCTCCTGTTATGCCCGCAAAAGCAGCAGAAGGTGGCTCAAGTAATTGGGCCCCTGTCAACCACATGAGAGTCACGGATGAAGTTCCTGGCTTAAGCCTCGCTCAGCCTTGGTCGTTGTGGCCATTTGGGGAGTGAACCAGCAGATGGAAAATCTCTCTTTCTCCCTCTGTAACTACCTTTCAAATACATTAAAAAATCATTTTATTCTTAAGATTTTTGTCCCTGTAAAAGAGTATTTTGCAGACTGGGAGCTCTCCAGCCGCCAAGTGGCACATTCCCAATTTGCAGTGCAGTGGCCCAGTTTATAGAACACAGAAGAGGGACTGTTTCGTCTTTTCTCATGATTGTCACGTATTCTTTCTAAAGGAAAACAGTGCTGATGAAGGTGATTTGTCTGTAGCTGATTGGGTGCTGAAAAGGATAGAAACTGACCTTCGTGGGTTGTTTCTGTTCAGGTTCCCCATAGGGAGAAATCACGATGACTTCAGATTTGACTTTGGGTGCTTTGCTGTTGGGCATCTAAACTGTGTCATTTATTTTGATTTATTTACTTTTAACAGTTTGTGCCTTTTCGTGTATATGGCTCCCCTGATAGAGAGAGAATTTCCAGATCCCAGAAAGCTCCCTCATGCTTCCCTGTCAAAAGATAATCACTATTTTTACTTCTGTAGTCATAGATTAGTTTTGCCTGCTCTTGCCCTTTGTATAAAAACAGAGATATTTGAACCCAACTTCTTGCGTGCAGTGTACTATTTTTGAGGTTAGTCCATGTTGCACAGATCAGTATTTTATTCTGTAGTGTAGCGTTAGTCAGCGTATGAATAAATCACAATTTACTAGTCTCTTCTAAAATTGATGGACATTTGAGCTGTTTCAGATTTGCAGTTAGGAATAGAGTGTTTCTGTTTGTTGTGTTAAAGTATACTTAACATAAAATGTATTATTTTAAGTATTTTAGGCTTTTAGTTCAATGGTATTAAGTTGGTTCAGTTTGTTGTTCAACCCCTGAACATTTGTTTTTTGAAGATTTATTTATTTTATTTGAAAGAGTTACACAGAGAGAGAAAGAAAGCCAGAGAGATAGAGAGGGCTTCCATCCATTGGTTCACTACTGAATTGGCCGCAGTGGTTGGAGCTGCGCTGATCCGAAGCCAGGAGCCTGGAGCTTCTTGCAGCTCTCCCATAGAGGTTCAGGGGCCCAAGGACTTGGGCCATCTTCTACTGCTTTCTCAGGCCGTAGCAGAGTTGGATCGAAGTGGAGCAGCTGGGTCTCTAACTGGCGCCCCTATGGGATGCTGGCACTGTAGGTGGCGGCTTTATCCGCTGTGCCACAGTGCCAGCCCCCTAACATTTTTATATAAGCTTTTTGTGTACCTGTGTGCTCATTGCTTTTGGATAGATACTTAGGAGTGAGTTTGCTGATCATTGGCTTTGTTTAGCTTTTTAAGTAGCTTTCCAGCTGTTTCCATACCATCTGTCTCCTGCTAGCCCTGTGTAGAGTCCCAGGATTTCTGCATCTTTACATCAGTCCTTGCAGTGCTAGCCTTTTAATTTTTAGTCTTATTGGAGACATTGTGTTAATATGTTGCCCTGTGTTAACTGAGAATTCTTTCCTTATTATTTATGATACCTGTTACAACACTGATGATTGGTAGTTTGTAGATAAAGACATGTTCCCTAAATCTGGTGAAGTTGTGGTCTGAGTTAGAGACTGGGCTGTGTATATTTCTTGACTATATCGGGGCAGAAGTAGTGCTTTTGATGTTGTTGAAACTGGGATTGTTTTTCCACATGGGTCTGTCCCAACCATGGAAACCAGCAGGCGGCCAGACCAAAGGATGGAAAACACAAGCGTGGCGCAGAGGACTTTGTTTTGAGGACACTTTGCCTTAGTGTGGTGCTGTTTGCTGTATTTCTTATTTGGTAGTGATTCATTCAGCCACTGGCCCGTTACAATAAATCCCTAGGATTAAGTGCTCGTAGCCCCAGTGCAGTTTGTCTCTGGGTTGCCAGCCATCACCTTCTGCCCCTGTCCAGCCCGTGCATTCTGTGTGTCCTCCAGGATGGAGCCCGCTTCCCTTTGTGGCGCTGTACCAGTGACATTTATAGGTAGGGATTGTACTTTAGCCTGCCAAGCAAGGTGCCTGTCCTATGCCAACGGGTGGGAGGATTTGTGTTTCCCTCTCTTCAATTTCTGTAGTTTCTGCTCTGTCATATTCACTTGGCAGTCAAGTCACCTTGTAGTTTATTATCTATTGTGTAGGTAATGTGTGACTGATTAAAAGCAAATAAATGTGGCCGGTGACGCTGCAGCTCAATAGGCTAATCCTCCGCCTAGGGGCGCCTGCACACCGGGTTCTAGTCCTGGTTGGGGTGCCGGATTCTGTCCCGGTTGCCCCTCTTCCAGGCCAGCTCTCTGCTGTGGCCTGGGAGTGCAGTGGAGGATGGCCCAAGTGCTTGGGCCCTGCACCCCATGGGAGACCAGGAGAAGCACCTGGCTCCTGCCTTCGGATAGGCGCGGCGGCCATTGGAGGGTGAACCAACGGCAAAAGGAAGACCTTTCTCTCTATCTCTCTCTCTCACTGTCCACTCTGCCTGTAAAAAAAAAAAAAAAAAAAAAAAAGAGAGAGAGAGAGAGAAAAGCAAATAAATATAACAACTCACACATCTAACTAAGTGAAATGGTTAAGCCCATATTCAAAATAGTTACCTTGGAAAATTACACATTTCACCTAACTGTTTGATGACCTCATTCTCAGAACATTGTTGGTTTTTAAAAATGATGGCTGGTAATTAAAACAGAACAAAACATAGGAGTGTAGGTACAGGGCAAACCTGAGGGAGGGAGTGCTCTCTGTTTGCCAGGCACAGCTCTGTGCCTATTAAAGGGAGAGCTCGTTTTCTTTATATCATTCTGCAGCCTGTTCCACAAGTGGAATTTGGAAATAGATTTTCGTCAGTGACTGTTTTCTTTGGAATACATAGGTTCAAGTCATTCTGGAGTGACTCCTTGAAAATGACAGCACTTACATGATTACTGAAAAATCTAAAAAGTCCCATTTCACTGCTGTACACACCCCATCCAAATGTCAGTTATCGGGAGCACAGTGTCTGCCGTGTCTTTGCTGATGGCACCTCCTGTGCGCAGGGCAGGCACCGAAGAAACGGATAGGGGGCTCTGCAGCCCTTCTTTCAGAGGTGGACAGTTTGGTCAACAACATGTCCAACTGTGTTTTTACTCTTTTCACCTTTGTGTTCTCATTCTTTGTGTTGCACGTAACAAGTGGCTGGGAGATTCCAGCAACCTGTTCCTCACTTCACCTCATGGGTGTTGTCCCCAGTACTTATGTTTATAAGTGACTTTCTGTAGCACAGATGCCCCATTTTTGATGTTGAGGTAGGGGTGGCCTCAGCTCATGGACCTCCGTGGTGGCTCTGGACACCTTCTGGTTGTAAAGCATCCCTCATCTCCTATGTTCTGGGAAAGGAAGCCAGCACCTCGTGCAGTCCATGCCTGTGGCTGGGGTAGAGTTTTTAACAGCTTTGCCGAGAGGTAATTCATACTCTGTGCAGTTCATTAGTTCTGAGTATTCATTTCAGGGGTTTTTAGTACATGTGCAGTATTGGGCTGCCATGTTCACCCTGTAAGGGCAAAGTGTTTACCTTGCACCCAGAAGCTTACAGCCATTAGCGGTAGCTCTCCCTCCCCTCTCCTGCCAGTCTGGGGCAACCATTGACTTCCTGTCTGTAGATTTGCTCACCCTGTTTCTTAGAAATGGAACCCTGAAATACAGTGGCTTTTTGACTGATATCTTTAACTTAGCATCACAAAAGTTTCATCTGTGTTTAAGCAAACGCTGTTAAGGCTGCACAGTAGTCCCTTGTCTGCATGTACCATGCTTTATTTATCAGAAACTGTATTTTCAGGGAGCAGTACTGGCTTCTCAGTGAACGCTGAATTGCACAGTTACCCAGACCATTTTTTCTTCCCTCTTCTTCAGCTATGAAAAGACAGAGAAAAGCATGCCATTTGGTTTGTTGATTTGTGCTCAAACTCCCTGCAAATGTTAGGGTTCCACCCCTGTGGTGTTAGACGTACCCTCAACAGCAGCCTGGTTGACTGTATCTGGGAGACATTCTGTCCAGAGTCTGCGGCTGCCAGATGCCAGCAGCTCCGTCACAGGCCTGCTCTGGCTGCATTGCCTGATGCACCTGGTAGCTGCTGGTGCCGTGAGTGACCCATGCTGTCCAGTGGAGCCTTGAAACATGGACTGGGACAAAAGAAAAGGCGTCTGGCATGACTGCATTTTTTGGTAAGGAAAAATAGCACGTAGCATCTGACTTTTTATTTCTGGATGTGTTAATGATTTTGTTTCTTGTTTTGTGAATATTGTGTACATACTGTTTGTCACATTTGTGAGGTGAAATGAAGTGTCTTTGCATTGGATCCCCGCAGGGTGTTCCACCCTCTGCATGCTCTCACTTGGGTCCTGCTGGGCTGTTCTCCCCATGCCCATGGTGTCTTGTTGTAGTGCTCACGTGGTGGGTAGGGCCACTCTGTGGTCCATCTTCTCAGGAAGGCCCTGTAGGGGAAAGTGCCCAGGTTCCCCTTCTGAGCCAATGGGGACCTATTTCTTCAGTTAAAGTGTTAAGTTTGTCGTGTCCTTCCCTTCCCATCCTTTGTCTAGACTTTAAGAAATCTGCAAATTAGGCCCATGGCCTCTATCCTGTGAACCTAACTCATAGTTTTAGGAGAAATTAGTTTTGTTATGCAAGAGACACATGGGAAATATATGGCAGTATAGTGTATTTTCCATATAGGGAAAGTGAGGAACCAGCAAGGGGTCACTTAATGAATGTTCTGACCTCTAAGGAGGTAGAGTGTTGTAAAAATTAGCTGGTGGGAGGAGGGCCAGCTCTCTGGCCTAGTGGGTAAAGCCACCGCCTGCAGTGCCGACATCCCATATGGGCGCCAGTTTCGGTCCTGACCGCTCCACTTCCAATCTGGCTCTGTGCTATGGCCTGGGAAAGCAGCAGAAGATGGCCCAAGTCCTTGGTGCGCTGCACCCGTGTAGGCAAGCCAGGTGAAGCTCCTGGTCCTGGATCCTGGCTTCTGCCTGGCCCAGCTCTTGTTCTTGTGGCCAATTTGGAGAGAGAACCAGCAGATGGAAGATCTCTCAATCATTCTCTCTCTGTAACTCTGACTTTCAAATAAAATGAATAAATCATGTTGATAAAGAAAATAAAAAAAAAAGTCATTTGGACAAATACACCAGTGTTTGGAAACAGAAGAGCTCTCCTGAAGTGTCTTACATGGTGCTGTTGGTTTTCTGACCCTCAGTTTCCTGGGCACTTGCTGAGTGGATGTTTGAACACCGAGGTGCTTACATCATCATCCTGTCCATTACTGTTGAAGACCTCTTAAAAATTTATTTATTTATTTGAAAGGCAGAAGGGGAGGCAAAGCAACTGAACAAGCGAGAGGTCTTCCATCCATTGTTTCATTCCCCAAATCACCTCTGTGGCTGGAGTGGGGTAAGCTATTGGGGTCTCCCACGTGGCTGCAGGGGCCCAAGCACTTGGGCCATCTTCCTCTGCTTTCCCAGGCTGTTAGCAAGGAACTGGATGGGAAGCAGAGCAGCAGGGACTGGAACTGGTGCTCACATGGGATGTCAGCATCGCTTAACTCGCCATGCTGCAGCGCCAGCTCCAGGAATGTAGTTTTTCTTGAGTATGCACTGCCCGTTTCTGACTGTGATGCAAGTAAGATCCTTGGCTGTTTCTATTCGGTAGCCTTTTCTTCTGTCGTCAGAAAATTAGCAGTGCTTTGACGTTATCCTGGAGTTGACCTGTTGTCTATAAGAGGGAACTTGATTGTGGGTTACTGTGGGAGCTGCAGTTTGGATATGGAGGGGGTGACATCACTTTCTTCACTGTGTTTTCAGTTACCTCTGGGACCATCATAGTCTCAAGGAAGAATTTTCCAGTGATAGTCATCCACCTTTGGCAAGAAAGGTGGGTACATGAGCTCCTTAAGACAGATGGCTTGGCTGGCGCCGCGGCTCACTAGGCTAATCCTCCGCCTTGTGGTGCCGGCACACCGGGTTCTAGTCCCGGTCGGGGCGCTGGATTCTGTCCCGGTTGCCCCTCTTCCAGGCCAGCTCTCTGCTGTGGCCAGGGAGTGCAGTGGAGGATGGCCCAAGTGCTTGGGCCCTGCACCCCATGGGAGACCAGGAGAAGTACCTGGCTCCTGCCATCAGATCAGCGCGGTGCGCCAGCCGCAGCGTGCCAGCCACGGCGGCCATTGGAGGGTGAACCAACGGCAAAGGAAGACCTTTCTCTCTGTCTCTCTCTCTCTCTCTCACTGTGAAACAAAAAAAAATAGAAAAAAAAAAAAAGTGCTGAACCAGAACTGTGGCTTAGCAGGTAAAGCTGCCACCTGTAGTGCCAGGATCGCATATGGGCTCCAGTTCAAGTTCTGGTTCTCCACTTCTGATCTAGCTCCCTGCTAGTGGCCTGGGAAAGCAGCAGAGGATGGCTCAAATGCTTGGGCCCCTGCAGCCACGTGGAAGACCTGGGTGAAGCTTCTGGCTTTGGATCAGCCCAGCTCCTGCCATTGCAGCCATCATTTGGGGAGTGAACCAGCAGTTGGAAAATCTCTCTGTCTCCCTACCTCTCTCTAATTACCTTTGAAATAAATGAGTCTTTTTTTTTTTTTTTTAAAGATACTTGCTGAAATGCCAGGTGTTTAAGTGAATGGTTGGTGCCAAGCTGGACAGCCTGGATGAGCGAGACAGTGCCAGTCTTTCCTGCTTCAGTTTCCAACCCAGCAGATGGAAACCTCTCAATGACAGGAGCACACATCTGTCTGGTTTGATGGGGTGTGCGCCATGCTGTGCTGTGCAGTTGCTGGGGCTGCAATCCCTAGAAAGCGTGATTGAAGTGAGATTGACAGAGAGCCAGACCTCAAGGTTAATGGCACAGAGAGAGTGAGGAGTGTGAAGAGCTAATAGTGAAATACACATGTCAGTGGCTGCAAACCACTCATCCATTTAATGTGCTGGAAGTTAATAAAGTCCAGTAGGCTCCAAATTAAAGTATTGCCATTTTGCTGTATCTCTTATTAGTGGTTTTTTTTTTTTTCTTTTGTTTGACAGGCAGAGTGGACAGTGAGAGAGAGAGACAGAGAGAAAGGTCTTCCTTTGCCGTTGGTTTACCCTCCAATGGCCGCCGCGGCCGGCGTGCTGCGGCCGGCGCACCGCGCTGATCCGATGGCAGGAGCCAGGAGCCAGGAGCCAGGTGCTTTTCCTGGTCTCCCATGGGGTGCAGGGCCCAAGCACCTGGGCCATCCTCCACTGCACTCCCTGGCCACAGCAGAGGGCTGGACTGGAAGAGGGGCAACCGGGACAGAATCCGGCGCCCCGACCGGGACTAGAACCCGGTGTGCCGGCGCCGCTAGGCGGAGGATTAGCCTAGTGAGCCGCGGCGCCGGCCCTATTTCTTTATTAGTCTTAATTCCCCTTGACCTCATGTCAGGAATGAAACAGTTTAGGAGTCTTCTAGTGTGGGAGCAGTTTGGACCATCATTGTTAGTATAGCTTCAAAGAAAGTGGATTGGCGGAATACATGTAGGTTCCAAAATCTATTAATAGTGTGATATTGTATTTCTTTATCTTGTTAAACAGCTTTAGAAAGATGGGGCTGATTTTCTGAAATGCCAACATGTGCGTTGTGAATGTGTGCACCCCAGGGGTGTTTGGTGTGTTTTGGCTGTTGCTGAGGCCTCACCTTCATCAGGCAGCCCTATCACAAAACGGGTTGAGAAGACAAGACGGTGCTATTCAACAGGGTGTCACTCATCAGATTCCTACAAAATACGAGGGGGGCTGAGGTTGTGTGAAGGGTTTTTGTTCCTCAGTCGAAGACAGGCGGTAACTGTAATAACATTCACAGCTCATAGAAGGGGAGGATATTTTTGCAGATTGTGTATCCAGTAAGGGATTTGTATGTAGAATATGTGAAGAACTCTTAACAACTCAACAGTACTGAGGCCGAGAATCCAGTTTTAAAAACTGGTTATGGATTTAAATATACATATCTCCAAAGAAGATGTAAAATGATGAGTAAGTACAGAGAAAATCATTGTCATTAATGATTAAGAAAACATTAATTAGTAGGAAAATGCAAATCAAAACCGCAGGGAGAGCCACTGGCTGAGATCCCTGAAATAGGGAAGAAAGACAATACCAGGTGTTGGTGAGTATGTGCAGAAACTGGAACCTCCTGTGCTACCTGGGGTAGTGTGAAGTGGAGCAGCTGATTTGGAAATGGTGTCAGTTCCTCAGAATGTCAAACGTAGAATTAACATTGGAACCAGAAATTCCTATCTTAGGCCATACCCAAGAGAATTGAAAATAAGTACATCTTTGTGCAGCTTTGTCCACAAGCGTCTAAGGCAGCATTCAGTGTCCATTCCAAATGTCCAAGAGCTGATGATTTGAAACATGAAGTGTGTCATATCTGTGCAATAAAGTATTATTTGGCCCTAGAAAGCCACGTGGTACTGACACAGTTAGAGCATGGATGAGCCCTGGAGACAGGCTGAGTGAAGGAACCAGATACAGAGCCACTCTGATTGCAATGATATGAAATGTTCAGCCTGGCAAATCTGTGGAGACAGAAAGTAGAAGAGTGATAGCCTGGGGAGAGGAGAACTGGGGAATGCTGATGGGTGTGGGGTTTCTTCTGGTAGGGGGGAGAATGAAATTTCCTAAAGCTAGATTGTGGTGATTGTTACAGCACAGACATCCTGAGTGGAACACTCTAAATGGGTAGATGACATGGCATGTGAATTCTGACCTTGAGTCTTTGCAAGGTTATTTGCATGTGTGCATATTTGCTTATATTAAAATATTTTTGTGAAGTATTGTTACTGACATCACCTGATCCCGTGATTATTTGTGTGCTAAGTGTGTGAAGGGCCAAGGGTATTCACCACTGAGCCCTGCAGACCCCAGTAAACCCCAGTGGCTCGTCTCAAGGAGCAGTCTAGCACTGTTGTTTTCTGCATAATTAATATTAGCCATCTTATAAGAAACAGCTTGACATCATGCACACAGTAAATTAAGATAATTTTCAGAGTAAATTGTGTGGTGTGATAGGGAATTGGGGACTAGAGGTGACAGGCAAGCAACAAGGCAGGTGCTCCTTGAATGCTGTCATGGGTTTCTAAGTATCTGCCAAAGTCTAGATTAATATGGCTTCATAGAAAGGGCTGCTAAGCTGGATGATCAGAGTTGAGTGGAGGGAGAATTCACACACTTGTGTTAAACTTTGGACAAATAACAAGGGTTTGTTACAGGGGGTGGGGCCTTGGAGTGCTAGACCCTTAGGATGGCTGGAACCCCACCCATGGCCAATGGTGGTGATGATGGTGGTTTTCTCCCTTGAGCTACTGCTTTCTCTGCCCTTGCTTCCTGCACCCGTAGATCCCAGTGGCTCAAGGGTGCTGAGCTGTTTTCTCACCTCTGTACACCTGCAGGGTTTTGTTTATTCCTGTCACCCTCTGCCACCTGCCCTGTCCTGCTGTGTGTTTGGCATGGAAATTGAAGATGTGAGGTCCCTGGAGCCGGACCTGGATGCAGCTCAAGGCTTTCCATTTCCAGGCCATGTGAACTTGAAGTTCCTGAGACCCTTCTTGCTGCCACTAGTGACAGTGCCTGCTTCATAAGTAATTAGCATACCATAAATGCATGTTATATAAAACTTTTGGAACACCTCCCAGCCCAAGTAAGTAAGTGGTCCCCCCCCCCCAACTTGTTAATTTCAAGCACGGAGCCTCTCTCCTCTTTGGAGCTGTGAGGCAGGGGCTGTCAGTTCCTATAAGCTAGGTTCCAAGTGTTAAAGTTATTCTAGGGCATCTTAGAAAGGAGATTGGATTCGGTGACTCAAGGGCCCCTTTCATTGCAAGATGTTGAATGCCGCCTTGAGCTTATGTCTGCTGAGGTTCTGTATGTGGCAAGGAGCAGAGAAGGATGGGGTCGAGTATGTAATCCCTCATAGCCTGGTTTTGCTGCTTTACCGACTCTGAACCAGCTGTGACCCTAGAGCCTGGGACAAGTGTGGAGGCCTTATTGCATTGGGGAATTGAAGTTAATTGCTAGATCTAGGATCTGAGAGTCCGGATTTATCATGTTACACAACTTAGGGCATAAGGAAATACTTTTATTTAAGTATCATTCTGCACTGTTTCCAAAGGCAGCAGGCCTTGAACCTTACTAAGGTTTTTAAAATTGGAATTTCTACACTAGTGGAGGTGATACTGGCTGTTTTCCTTTGTGGGTTCCTTTCTCCTCTTTGCCTTTGGTGAAGAAAACGTGGACATTTGTGTTTCGGTGTGGTGTAACTGCTAGAAAGATGCACGGCTCTTGGAATGTCCCCTTGTCCATTAAACCCCCATGCCTCTGATCCTGGCTCTTGATGTCAGCTCTGCCAGCTCAGCTGTGCCTTTGAAGTGCAGCAAGGGCCTTTGATCTTCCATCATTTTCACCTAATGACAGCCTGGCCTTTGATCAGCTCAGATTTCCTCTTTCTTTGGCTTCATAATAAGTCACTTGGAGGTAAGGAGAGACCCGAAAGAGGCCCCCAAACCGCTGCAACTTTTAAGAGCACAATGGCTGGTTGACCTTCATATCTTAAGTAAATACACCCAAGGGGAGTTGGCCCTTCCTGGCCTCTCATTGATAAAGTTTGTTCATGAGTAAACTTTGAAAGAGAGGTAGGGTGAGGAGCTAAAGGGAAGTAGAAATAACAAGCAACACCTCCACTCCCTATCCCCCAGCCCCCTCCCCCAATTTTAAGCTGCTTAATTTGGGACTAGTCCCCTCACCTTTCTGCTCCTGTTTAAAGATTCTCAGCGTGCTAAGAGGCTGTGTTTTAGAAACATTGAATTTTATGTGCTAATAGAGTATTTCTGTTAGATTCTGTTTTATGCCTTCTCATTTACTGTTTACTAGTCTCTTGGAGCTTGGTAAGGACAGAAAAGATTCTCCTTGATTGAATGTAACTTGCAGAAGGAACTTAATCTTTCCAATTAACATTAAAATCTGAGCAACATATCTACTACAGTCACTCCTTTAGAGAGCAACTTGTATATTCACTACCCATAAGCCATTTTTTGATATAGTTATTATACATGTATGGAATTAGCTGTTGGTCTCTCCAATAAGTCTCCAGTAAATGTGTTGAGACTTTCCAGCTAGTCAGCCTACTCTGAGACTTTATTTTCTTGTTGGAGAATGTAAACTTTTTTTTAAAGCTACTTTTTTTTTTTTTTAAGATTTATTTTATTTATTTGAAAGAGTTACAGAGAGAGAGATCTTCTGTCCGCTGGTTCACTCTCCAGATGACCACAACGGCCAGAGCTGCGTCGATCCAAAGCCAGGAGACTCCTGCAGGTCTCCCATGTGGGTGCAGAGGCCCAAGGACTTGGGCCATCTTCTACTGCTTTCCCAGGCCATAGCAGAGACCTGAATCGGAAGAGGATTGGAAGAGGAGCAGCCAGGACTAGAACCGGCGCCCATATAGGATGCCGGCGCCTCAGGCCAGGGCTTTAACCCACTGTGCCTCAGCACCGGCTCTGAATGTAGACTTTTTAAAATAACTCTGTAAGCTATAATTATCAAGTACAGTTTTTCCTTAAAAGAACTGCAAAGTATATCACATACTGTGAAAGACCCCACATAACTGTGTATTAGCCTGATAACAGCTTAATGAAGGGTGCCATGTTATAGTTTACTGAAATTGTTTTTTTTTAAGTATGGATAGATTTCATCTGAGTTAGTTTTAAATTGCCATTCAGAAATTTTCTTGTATACTATACATTGTTTCAGATGTTAAATTTTTTTTTTTTTTTAAAACTCAGAGCTTGCTCAGGAAACGTCTGCTGAGTGAATGTAAATTCATCATGAGTGATTGAAAACTGGAACAACCCTGCCACTGAAACGATGGATACCAGTCTTATTTATTTACATCATGAATTCTGTTATGTTGAATTTTTCTCTTTCTCCATCAATACAAATATAAATTTATTGGAATATTAACAGTTTCAACTGACAGTCATGAAAATATACATGTAGAGGTTAGCGTTTCTTAGGTTAACCTGTGGAACTTAAAATATGTGGGTATCCTGCTGACTGAATCTTTATTGTCCTGCTCCTATGTAGATAAGCTAGGAAAAAATGTAGCTTTCTGGGTTTTTCAGCTCAGACAGCTTCTCAGTGCACACGGAAGGAAAAATCAGCACTGAGTACTGAGAGAATCATTGGGAAGAAGGGGAGGAGGGCTGGTTTTGAAAAGGTCAGGGAAGGGACTGTGTGAAATACTCTCAGCTCTCCCGCCTTTCCCTGCTGTGTCTCTTACACCTGCCTCCTCTCACCTTCACTGGTAGGCATGGTGCCAGTGACGTGCTGGGCGCTGTGGGTGGTGTCTTGCTCAATCCTTGAAATAGCACTGGGGCTCTGTGGGTTCACGATGCCACTGTCACATGGGTGGAAACAGCCCAGTCGGGTGGCCACTCCAGGATCACACAGCTGGTACCTGGGGGAGCAGATGAGGAGTGCTCTCTGACCAGGTTGCTAGGCACCGTGCCCTTTGACCTTCCTGCTAGCTGGTGAAGATGGTGTCTGTGTGAACTTTGTTAGAGGAGGGGAGAATGTCCTTGGTCCCATCTTCTCATCCTCAATATGGGCGTGGTAGCGACCTGTTTCGAGTTGGTAACTTTCCAGAAGTTCTCATTGAATCTCAAAAAACTCCACAAGGTAGATGATACAGGCTCAGGAGGGATGAAGAAGCTGCTGGGATCACAGTGTTGTCTGCAGAGGCTTAGTGGTCAGGGCTGCAGAAGTGAATGGTTGCCCCAGGCCTCCCTGGGCTGTGTACAGTGCCTGCTCACAAGGTGCCCACTAAAAAGGTATTCCCAGAAGAGCGGGCAGGGAGAGGTGCTGCACAGAAGCTCACGGGAAGGGCTTTAACAGGCTCTCCCTCCCCCTCCACAGTTCACGCTTAGGCATTCTTTCAGTTTCCCTCACTCCCTCCCCACCTTCTATCCTCCAGTGGTTAGTGGCTGATTCCAAGCTTCAGCTTGTTCAGAGCCCAGTGATTCCTCCAGAATCCCTTTAGGTAAAGACACAGACACAGACCCGAGATCTTCAGCCGTGGGTGCTTACCCTGTCACACGGCAAGGGTGTTAGGAGAATTTCTTTGGTATTTTTACCAGAACACTTCACTTCTGAAGATCTAATACTGTTTCCTCCCCTTAATTCCCCTAAGGGGCCCCGGAGCTCAGAGCTCCTCGAGAGGCCTGATGCAGCTGCTACTGGGGTCTGAACATGCCGTCTCTGTGAATTCTTGCACAGTTCCCCCTTTTAAACACTTGTAAGCTCTGCCAGGAAGTGAAAGCTGCTAGCAGGTAACTGATTGCAATGCAGCAAAATGTTATAAAAGTAGATATTTTGGAGGTAAATAAGGTGTGAAGAAATCTGACAGGCTGGAAGAGCCTTTTCCATTAAGGAGGGTTCTGTGTACCTGGGATAAAAAGGTTCTTGGGCTGCCATTATCTCCTTGGAGCTCAGGGTCATGTGTGGGCTGTGTCAGGATGTGACTCGCTGTACCCCTTGTCCCATGTTCAGGTGGACATGAGTCTGTGTGCCCTCACTGGCACAGTGGAAACTGTGAGAGCTGTGCTCTCAATGAGCTCCAGCTTGCACCTAAGTCACTTGGGACCTCCTGGAGTTGTGTCCAAGCTGCAGGCCCAGGAGTGGAGGACCAAGAATAAAGGTGGGGTGGTTGTTAGGTCTCCCATAAGGAGACCAAGGAAGCGGACAGGTGTTGCATCATTGTAAATCCCAGTTGTGAGTGAAAATCCAACCTAAAACCTAGATGGTCTTGGGTCTGTTTATGTTACTGTTGTCACCTAAGTTTTCTTCATACTGAAGTGATGTGCACAGTGAAGCCTTGTGATATTTCCAGTCAGGTGACACTGGTGCATCCCTGGTTCGGTTGTAATGTCAGTGAGGTGAGTGAGGTGGCCGGAACTTTTTTGTTGCTTCAAAGACAAATGGTGTAGAACTTGCAGGTTACATGAATGGCCATGCATGAATGTGGTAGTAACAGTTGTTAAAATATCTTTTAGTGCCTTTTGATAATCCTATTAACCTTTTCAGTTTGTTAAAAACACTTTAGTGTGTGTTCACCGTGGATGTGGAAAGTTAGAGACTGCTTACTTCATTGTGTGTGTGTGTGTGTGTGCGCGTGTGTGTGCTTAAGTCCTTGGCCCTTATGGAATTGCCTAGAAACTTAAAACCAGAAGTGACTTGGGGTGTTACTCAGCCCTGACCTAGCAGCATTGATGCTGTCTGGAGAACTACTGTCCAGAGTAATTACCTGGTTTGAGGACAGGGCCCTAGTACACCTCCCTCAGGTATGGGGAGCTAAAGAATTTTTGGGAGGTAAAGTTCATTCATCTGGTTAGTTACAGCAGTGAGAACCCAGGTCAGGTCGCAGCCCACCATCAAGGGTCCCTCCCCTAACCGGTACTTTGCGGGGGGAACCCTCTTCCCTTGTGTGTCTGGGTGAAACACAGCTTGCCTCTGTAGTCATCCTCCCTGCCCTGTGGTGTCGACCTCCATGGATTCAGTCACCGGCGGTCGACCTTGGCCTGAAAATACTAAAAGGGATTTCCAGAAATAAACAACTGATAGTTTGTTAGTAGTGCGTTGTTCTGAATAGAGTGGTGAACTGTCAGGCTGCCTGGCTTTTTCGCTGCTGGGGTGTGAGCATCCCTTGGTCCAGTGTCTCCACACCATGTGGCTACCAGCCTGGTCATCGCCCCGCAGCGCCTAGGTTGATGGTGCTGACATGGTGCTGTGTTCCCATGACCTTTGTGGCCCCACAGAGCAAGAGCGGTATTGCTGGCCGTTTACCTGTGCCTCAGATTAGCTGTACAGTGCTTCCTTTCAGAAAAAAGATGCCAGTTCCTAATACACAAAGAGAAAAGATGGCAGAGGTCGCTAAGGTCTACTACAAGAGCCAGTCTGTTGGTGAAATTGTGAAGGAAAAGAAAATCCGTGCTGAGTCTGCAAAAGTTACTGCTACAGTGCCTGATAAGTGCTTAAAGTAGGAAAGGTGTTACAGGTTTGTATGTACACGTATACACATACATAAACATATACATATACACATACATATACATAAACATAAACATATACATATACACATACATAAACATATACATATACAAGTGTGTATGTATATGTAGGGAAAAACGCCTGGGTGGGGTTTGGTCCTGTCTGTGATTTCAGGCCTCCACTGAGGGCCTGGGCGCCTTCCTCCTCAGATGAGGGACTGCTCTGTGTATTTCTGCTGGTACCCAGTCATGGAGTCCAGTGTCTTTCGGTGGCCACCGTTAGTTTGCTCCTGGCCTCAGGTGATTACAGTTGGGTTTGGCATTCGTGCCTCAGTGGGCATCCTCTTGGATGGGTGGAGGTCACCTTGGGTCAGATGGGTGGAGCAGACAGTAGCTACTTTAACTCCAAAGCTAAGAGCCATGTCCGAGTCAGACCTGGGTTGTAGCCCTGCCTGCTCTCGCTTTCTCCTTCCCTCCATGCTTGGTGCCCGGGGCTGCCGTGCAGAATACCCGAGACTGGCTGAGGCAGCAGATGTGCAATTCCCGTTCGTCTGAGGACTGCCAGTCCAGACCCAGCTGCAGCAGGGTTGCTGCCTCCAAGGCCTCCCTTGGCTTATGAATGGCTGCATCCGAATGGTGTCTCCCTCTGTGTTTCTGTTCTGGCCTCCCCTTCTTGGGAGGATGCAGTCACATGGGATCATGGCCCACCCTGATGACCTCTTCGAAGACCGTGTCTCCAACTTGAGCCATGCTCTGAGGCTCTGGGGGTTAGGACTTCAGAACAGGCAGTCTGTGGGGTGTGGCTGAGCCCTTTATGCTGCCTTGCCTCCCTCCCTCCCTCCGCCTTTCTGCTCTCCTTCCTCTCCTCCTTCCTCTGCCTCAGCTGGTGAAGAACATGAAACCTGGGAGTCCACTTCCCAGGTTGCCTTGTGTTCGCCAGCATGGTGACTGGGCGCGGTTCGCCAGTTTCCCCAGCTACAACATGGACTGTCCTGAGGAAGCAGCAGGAAAATCAGAATTATTTTTAAATGCTTCAGAATAACACTAACAAAAGATACAGGAAGGCTCCCAGTGTGTGATTATTTGGATTCCTTGGTGATCTAGTTTAAAAGGTGTCTGAGTTGGTGCCCCAGGCTTCACTATGTGTCATGAATGTCATCCTCCATCATGTCCTTAGCCTTAGCGGCCTGTGACTGTCTCAGCTTTGCTCTGAAGGAAAGACTTGGCCCTGCTCCAGGCATCCCAGGCAGGGCTTTGGACCCTGCAGAGCTGCCCCTAGGCCCTCCCCTGATGTAAGATCAGGCCCTGCTGGCGGGGAAGGGGCTGGGTCACAGCGTGTGGGCAGGACAGACAGTGTGTCACATCTTCTGTGTGCTGGACTGGCCCCGTTCATCACGCGTAGAGACGTGGTCTTGTGTCGGGAGTGCAAGTTCCAGGTCACAGGTTCATCACAGGTACTCACACAACCGCTTCTCCTAGTTCCTCACGGGTACTCACACAACCGCTTCTCCTAGTTCCTCACGGGTACTCACACAACCGCTTCTCCTAGTTCCTCACGGGTACTCACACAACCGCTTCTCCTAGTTCCTCACGGGTACTCACACAACCGCTTCTCCTAGTTCCTCACGGGTACTCACACAACCGCTTCTCCTAGTTCCTCACGGGTACTCACACAACCGCTTCTCCTAGTTCCTCACGGGTACTCACACAACCGCTTCTCCTAGTTCCTCACGGGTACTCACACAACCGCTTCTCCTAGTTCCTCACGGGTACTCACACAACCGCTTCTCCTAGTTCCTCACGGGTACTCACACAACCGCTTCTCCTAGTTCCTCACGGGTACTCACAGAACCGCTTCTCCTAGTTCCTCACGGGTACTCACAGAACCGCTTCTCCTAGTTCCTCACGGGTACTCACACAACCGCTTCTCCTAGTTCCTCACGGGTACTCACAGAACCGCTTCTCCAGCGTCTGCTTGCAGCCTGACCTACTCAGTGGCTCTGTTCCAGACATTTTGGAGGAACAAAATTGGGCAGTATGTGGCGTTTTGTGTCTGGCTCCTTTTACTTGGTGACCTGTTTCCAAGGTTCTTCCACAGTGTAGCATAAGTCAGCTCTTTCCTTTCAGGGACAATACCTGGATAGGCTGCGTTGTCATACTGGCCCTGGCTTGTTGGGTGGTGCTGCTGTGTGTGCCTGTCTGTGGACACATGTTCCTGCGTCTTGGAGAGGGACCTGGGAGTGGAGTTGGTGGGCCGCATGGCAACTGTGTTTAACAGACTGCTGCTCGCAGTCTGTTCAGGTCTTCAGCCCCACAGCTGTGGAGGAGGGCAGGGAGGGCTCCCACTGTTGTGTCCTGACCGATGCTTGTTATTTTCTGTCTTTGGGTTTTCTCCATCCAGTGGTTAGGATGTGGCACCTCATTGTAGTGCTGGTTTGTGCTGGCTGGTGGTGGCTTTGCACCTTATTTATTTATTTATTTATTTATTTCTATTTTATTTATTTTTGACAGGCAGAGTGGACAGTGAGAGAGAGAGACAGAGAGAAAGGTCTTCCTTTTGCCGTTGGTTCACGCTCCAATGGCCGCCGTGGCTGGCACGCTGTGGCCAGCGCACCGTGCTGATCCGATGCCAGGAGCCAGGTACTTCTCCTGGTCTCCCATGGGGTGCAGGGCCCAAGGACCTGGGCCATCCTCCACTGCACTCCTGGGCCATAGCAGGAGCTGGCCTGGAAGAGGGGCAACCGGGACAGAATCCGGCGCCCAGACCGGGACTAGAACCCGGTGTGCCGGCGCCGCAAGGCGGAGGATTAGCCTAGTGAGCCGTGGCACCGGCTGGCTTTGCGCCTTTTATCATGTACTCAGGAGCTTTCCTAGTTTCTTTTTCTTTCTTTTTTTTTTTTTTTTTTATTTGACAGGTAGAGATAGAGAGACAGAGAGAAAGGTCTTCCTTCCACTGGTTCACTCCCCAAATGGCGACTACCGCTGGCGCTGTGCCGATCCGAAGCCAGAAGCCAGGTGCTTCTTCCCAGTCTCTCACGTGGGAGCAGGAGCCCAAGCAGCACTTGGGCCATCCTCCACTGCCTTCATGGGCCACAGCAGAGAGCTGGAATGGATGAGGGGCAACCAGGACTAGAACCTGGTGCCCATAGGAGATGCCGGCGCCGCAGGCGGAGGATTAACCAAGTGCGCCACGGCGCCGGCCTCCCTTTCCTAGTTTTCAGTTGGGTTATCTAATTGTTGAGTCCTAAGAGTCTGACGTAAGTGTGTTCTTGAGCAGATCTGTGGAAAGAGTCCTGCGTTTCTGTAACCTGCCCTCCCTTGTTCATTCCTCTGTTGGTCTCCTGAGCAGCTCCTGTGTAGGAGGTGTGGAGCTCTGCACGCCCCGTGTCAGTGAAGACTTGCTGTTTTAGGAAACACAAAATGAAGTAGGAAGGGAGCAAAGTGATGAGCTTCTGTCCATGTTGATAGGAGAGAAGGTGACTTTTAGGCCCAGGAGTCAAGAAAGCCTGAAGGAAGTGGAGTTTTAATTGGCCTTTGCAGGGTGAGCCCTGTGGCGTCCAGTCTAGTTTAACATTTAGTGCTGAGATTTTCAGGACTCAGAAAGACGCTAGTAGGAAGGAAGATCAAGGGGCTGGCGCTGTGGCGCAGCGAGTTAATGCCCTGGCCTGAAGTGCTGGTATCCCATATGGGCGCTGGTTCGAGACCTGGCTGCTCCACTTATGATCCAGCTCTCTGTTGTGGCCTGGGATAGCAGTGGAGGATGGCCCAAGTCCTTGGGCCCCTGCACCCACGTGGGAGACCCGGGAGAAGCTCCTGGCTCCTGGCTTCAGATTGGCACAGCTCCGGCCGTTGCGGCCATCTGGGGAGTGAACCATCAGATGGAAGACCTCTCTCTCTCTCTCTCTCTCTGCCTCTTCTCTCTCTGTGTAACTCTTACTTTTAAATAAATAAATACCTCTTTTTTAAAAAAAGGAAATGAGATCGAAAAGGTAGCTGGGGCCACCTGTTTGGTTGGTTTTTAGAGACTTGTGTATTTGAAAGGTATAATCATGGAGGGAGAGACAGAGATAGCTTCCATCTTTTGGTTCACTCCCCAAATGCCTGCCAACAACTAAGGCTGAGGCAGGAGCCAGGAACTCTGTCTGGGTCTCCCTCATGGGTGGCAGGAACCCAAGTTCTGGGGCCATCATCTGCTGCCTTCTCCAGGTACATTAGCAGGGAGCCGGAACCACAGAGTGGAGTAGTGAGAATTCAAAGCAGGCAGCCCAACATGGGACACAGGTGTCTCCTAGCTGCTGGTTTTGAGTCAGGAACAGACTGGGCAGGCTTTCCTAGGTGACTGAGCCGCTACGTTGGGGGTCAGGATGGGTTGTCGAGCTGGGAGCGGCGAGGGGAGCTAGACCAGATGGGATGTGTGGGATGATGGGGAGGTGTTCCCTGAAAGTTGCTTTCCTGGCTTCTCTTGTGGGGACAGACATGTGCATTAGACAGCAAAAAGGCATGGAGTTAAAGTCCTGTGAAGTCCTTGGATCTCTTGGTATCCAAATTTGTTTGACCATGGGTTCACATGGTTTTTTGTTTGTTTAAACATACAACATCCAAAGTTCATACTTGAAATATCACTGTCTTAGTTCAGTAATGTTGGTTGGTCACTTGACTTAGAATAGTTTCTAAGGGCTGGAAAGAATGTCAGGCCTCAGCCAGTCTCCTCGTTGTGGGCAGCCCGGAGGAGAATTGCATGCTGGTGTCTACCTCTCCTAACGAAAGGAAGAATCAGATTAGAAAGCTCGGTCTTGACCCTCAGACCAAACATTCTCAGTTCTGCTTCAACAACTTCAGCCTTTCTTTGCAACGTAACCACCAGCAGCACCTCCTGAGGTCACACCTGGTTGCCTTTTACCCCGTTGCCCTGCTGTTTCTCTGTTCTAAGCCACACGCCGGCTGCATGGTGTTAGTCTGATGGGCACGGCACAGCACACAGGTTCTGAACTCCTGTTAGCCTGGGGGGTCACTCTGTGTTTGGGGGCATAGTTTTCTCATCTGTCGGATGGGTGGGCGATACAGATGAGCCTCCTTGGGCCCCCATTCCAAGATGCTGCTGTGCTGCAAGGGGCATGTACCCGCACTCCAGGGACCACCTGCCATCCTTTCTGGCTCGGAAACCTCCAGTGTGTGCAGGTCTCTGATTTCTTTGTCTTTTAGACATGTGTGCTAGAGTCTTAAAAAGCAGTGGTGCGTCCATTTGAATTTCAAGGGCAGCCACACGGCTCTGATGAGAGTGGGAATGGGGAGTGGGGTGGGAGTGCCATTCCTTACCTGCGTGCGTGCTTCTGTGCAGCACCGTATGCCGGGGTTTCTGCCCACAGTCCTTGTCCCCAGGGGCTTCAGTTTGTTGCTGGGGAGGTTGTTTTCTGTAGTAACTTGAGCTTCTGTGCAGCTGCCATCTGATGAAATTCCGGCCAAATCTCAGGGGTCCCCACGGGGCTGGTGCATCCCTCCTGCCAGAGGTGTTGAGAAAGCCAGGCAGCGGGTGTCAGTTCCTGGGGCGTCATCAGGGCGCCTGGAAAAGTACTCTGGGCCAGGGCTGCAGTAGCCTCACCCTGGGGCATCCTTTCCTCTCGGGGAGGAAGCCGAGATGGAAGGGGAGGGGTTTTTGGAAAGGTGCTCCCTCATTTATCATACAATCAAGATTTACATGTTTGCGTTTTCATTTTTTTTATTTGTGTGTGTGTGTTTTACTTGTCACATAATAAAACCAAAAGTTACTGAATGGAATGTAGAGGCCTACCAATGTCATGCTGCACGTCTAAGCCTTTCAGGCCAGCACTAGGCCTGTTCTTCAGGTACCTACTGAAGATGGAAAGTTCCACTTTGCTACAGGGCCAGGATCCTTAAAAGAAATCCTGACTGGAGGTATATTGTGGGTCCCTGTGTATTTGCTGGTTTCTGTTTTGCTAACCATATTGGCAAAGTTTGTTGTTTTTCTGGTAAACACTGAGAAGGCCCTTCTCTTCCCCTCTCCCTGACAAAATGCTGCTTGTGAAGTGTCTGTGGGAAGCCACTGTGGAACCTGTCCACACATCTGTGATGATAGGAAAAGGCGAGGGAGCAAACAAAGGCTGCTTTTTTTTACATCCCACAGGTCCTCAGACTGAGTTGACTTGGCCCCAACACTGCTCCTACATTGGTCCAGCCTCAGACCAACATGAATTGCACAACAAAAGGGTCATTATTTGTGAAAAATTGAGGTGCCCCCCTCCATGATGACTTTTGGAAAGTTTGAGGTTTTCTCTTAAAATAATTATTCCTTTTATTTCCCATAACTTTTAGACGATGTGGCCTTTATTACTGTTAATACACTGTGCTTCTTAAAAATTCATAATGAGGCAGTGTATGAAGCCTTTTCCAGCAGTTGTGAGACCTAGGCCGTCAACTCTGCGCAAAGTGAAGGTCCTCATCTGAATGTGTCACTTTGAGAAACCCTCTGAGACCTGCACTTGAGTGCTAGGCTTGTGAAAGATTACACGGAATGTACATAGTACTTTGAATTGGCAGTTTTTTAGTGTTCTGTAAGAATACAATGTTTATTTAACAGTAAAAAGTGTCTGTTGGTCTTAGCTTCAGGAGTAAGCATATGAACTGTTAGCTCATAACTTTCCCGCATTCTGTAGCGTGCCCGAAGTGTGGCAGAAAGGTGTGTGTGGGGCGGGGTAAGTGGGTTTGGCTTGGGGGCTGAGTGAGTTCCACTCAGTCCTTCTCTCTCCCAGGTGCCGAGTGGAAGATCCACCAGGCAGGGGGCCGTTAGTGTGTTCAGTGGACTTTGGAGATCATTAATGGTGAATACTTTGTTCTCCTCTGCTGTTTGCTGCTTTTCGTGTTAAACTACCCCAAAGAGCGATTGTGCTAGAAAACCATGTTGATGTAAAATGTCTCATGCTTGGCAGCTAACATGGGTGCAGACCAAGCTCGGAGGATGGCAGGCGGCCCGACGCATTGCCAGAAACTTTCCACTGGGAGTAGTTTTGCAAGGGGCTGAGCCAGGGGACTGGGATGGGGGTGCTTCTCCTGTCTGGTGACTCCTCGTCTCTCTCTGCATAGGTGAAGCTGCTCTCAGGGGAGAGCCCAGAATGCAGACCCTTCCTGTGGCCTCTGCCCTCAGCAGTCACCGCACCGGCCCTCCCCCCATCAGTCCCAGCAAGAGGAAGTTCAGCCTGGAACCTGGCGATGATGACCGAGACTGTGAAAATGACCATGTTTCCAAGATGACGCGCATCTTCAGTCCCCATCTGTAAGTCCCCATGCCGATTTTGGCGGTTTGTGGAAAGATACTGTTTTGTTTCTCTGTACCTGTGCAGCCCTTTGTGTGTTTTCCCTGTGAGAGTGAACGTTCGCTGAGGGCATGTCGGGGTGGCTGTCTGAAAACCAGGCCTTTTCTCACCTGTGTACACTGCTGGTTGTCGGGGAGCATCTCCATGTGCCAAAGAAAGGAAAGCTAGCACCTCACAGACCACTGTGCAGTTCCGTATATGGAGCCTAGGATTGTACCCGCTAGGGGGAAAGTGGCTGTGCACCTAGGATTGTACCCGCTAGGGGGAAAGTGGCTGTGCAGGTTCATAGCCAGCGTTAGCCCCAGCGTGGGCTGGAGAATCCGTCTTGGAGCCAGGAGACTGGGTCCTGCTCCTCCATCTGCCATCAGACTCTGCTCTCCATCATTTTGATGCAAGTTGCCTAAACTCACTGGGCCTGTCTCCGTATTTGTGAAATGGATGAATTAAAACTAAAGGTGTTTGAACATGACCGTGTTTCTCTAATGCCCTCTTCCCCTGGGGAGCAGAATTCACATTGCTGTGGGTCCAGGACTGGAGAGAGTGGCGTGGCCCCCACAGCTGTGCATTGGTGGCAATGATTAGAGACATGGGTCTTAGCAGAAATGGTGGGGGTCTCTGGTTCTTGGAAGGAGTAGCTTTCTGCATCCAGGTTCAAAGGTTGTGTTCCCTACTTGCCCCCAACCCCCATCCAGCCTGTGCACGTGTTTTTCAGCCAGCCAGGATTCTGCCACCCGGGGTGGGGGTGCTGCCGCTCGGGCAGGAAGGTGTAGCTGAGGTTCCTCTGGAGACGAAGTGCACCCGCCACCACCTCTGCACAGCGCCCGCATTCCCTGCGTTCCAGTCGACTCGGGCTGTTGTGTTGGGTCATAAGACACTGACAGAGGTATTTATCCTCAGATAAATCACTGCAGTGTTAGTCAGAGGCTGAGCCGCAGTCTGGGCCCTGGCATCTGCTGCCCTCAGGAATCCAGCAGCAGGGCCTGCGGGACAGTGCGCCCTCCCAGGCCCAGGATGTGTGTCCCGCTGCTCAGCTGTTCGAAGTTCCTCCTTTGATTACTTATTCTTACTCCCTTCCCCTTCCTTCCCCCAGACCCAAATAAGAGACATTGGTCCTTTTGTTTTTTTCTTTCTTTCTTGAGAGTGGTGGCCTAGCGACTGTGTGTTGTGATCTCTCATGCTTTAGTTTAAATCTTGAGTCTGCCTCTTGACCGCTGGGAGGTCTTGCACAAGACACTTGATCTGGGTCCAGTGTCCCTGTTTTCAGAACAGCACCGATGGTGGTTACTCTGTGGAACTGTTGAGAGCCTCGGCGGCACACTGCGCAGAGTGCCTGCTGGCACAGTACAGCACTGCGCTGCTGGCTGCTGTCCTGTTGTTGTTGATAATTCTGTCTGTAAGGTGCAGCAGTGATGATGCAGGGAATGAGGAAATACGTGAGAACTGACGAGAGTGCATTTCAGTCAGTGCCTGTGCTCTGGTCTCTCCTTCGGGGGCGGGGCAGGGAGCAGTAGTGGCATCTTACCCACAGGATTATTTAGAGTGCTCAGTGCAGTGCCTGAGCAGCAGTCAATATTTAGTATTCTGCCTAAGACACTATTTGAATGCTCAAGCTTTTAGAAAGTGATTTTGTAACTCCTTGAGTAATTACAAATATAACCTTGTGGTACAGGTGTGTGATGACCCTATAAATAAAGGAATTGCTACATTTCATGTACAGCTCACAACTGATGTCATTATGCAGAGTTGTAGGAAAATAGAGCAGGTTTTGGGTTTTTTCCTTCCAGAAAGTTCTTCTATTATGGTAACACACCCATATCATAAAATTTATCCTCTTAACCATTGAAAAGATTTTCTGAGTTTTGTTTTGTTTTAATGATTTATTTACTTATTTGAGAGAGAGAGTTATCGGCAGAGAGAGAGACACAGAGGTCTTCCATTCGCTGGTTCACTACCCAAATGGCTGCAATGGCCAGAGCCAGGAAGCCAGGAGCTTCCTCAGGGTCCTCCGTGAGTGCAGGGGCCCAAGCATTTGGGTCATCTTACACTGCTTTCCCAGGCCATCAGCAGAGAGCTGGATCAGAAGTGGAGCAGCTGGGACTCGAACTGGTACCCATATGGGATGCCAGTGCCGCTGGTGGAGGCTTAACTTACTATGCCATGGCCCAGCCTCCGTGTTTTGATTTTGAAACATAATAATTGTACTATGTATTTGTGGGGTACAATGTTGTCAGTGCCTGTCAAGTCTGAGGCTGGCCCCTGACTAGCAGGGGCCAGTACAGACACTCCCCAACAAGGCGAACGGGAAGGGTAAGGTCTACGGTTATGAACACACCACAAGCACCCGTGAATTCTGTCGAAGCAGGAACCGCTTTATTGAGGAAGTGTACAGGCTTATAAAGCTTAGGAAGGACATGCGCAGTAGGGGAGCCAGTCAGCGAAAAGGTCATGCAGGCACGGGTGGACCACGCACAGGGGCGCCTTAAGTAAAGTATAGGGATCTCGCACTGTCCACGTATCCAGAACTAAAGCAGACCTATCCCTGCCGGTGGTCTGATCTTATGTAGCTTAACCGAGGCAGCCGCAGACACGCCATCCGACAGGCGCCATGTTGTAATGGAGATTTTAGGTAATGCCCACACAGTGTGATGTTTTAATTCATGCATATATTGCATAATTGTGGAGTTAGGGTAATTTGCGTATCACTCACCTTAAACATCTCCCATTTCTGTGTGGTAAGAACTTGGGAAAATATCATCCTAGATTTGTTAATGATATGTAATGAAGACATGTTTATTTTTATCACTGAAGAAGCCACAATAAATTGGGGAAAAGAGTGTTACTGAACAAGTTTGCGCAGTGGCTGCAGGGACCCCAAGGACGTATGCTGAGGCTGCATTTCAGTGTAACCAGTGTGTGGAATGTTTTCCAGTAGAGAGAGGCAGCTGGAGTGGCTTGGACAGAAACTGTATTTCAGCTGATTTGATGGGGGTGGGGCAGGAGAGAAGAGAGGTTTTCTTGGAAAATTCCAGGTCCCGGCCTCTTGCTCCAGCCCCTTAAAACCAGAGTCATGTGTTGTTAACTTTCTTGTTAATAAGGTGGTCCTGAGAAAGTTTTTTTTTTGTTTCTTCAGACCATGTTAATAAGGTGGTCCTGAGAAATTTTTTTTTTTGTTTCTTCAGACCATTACTGTCTGTCTGGAGGGTGAGAATTACTCTGCTAATCAGAAGGAAAGTGGATTAAGGATTGGTTAGTGTGAAGTGGGATTTTTCTTGAGGAAATGTCAGTAATTCTTTCTAAAGATTGGTAAAGAATGATGGCTAAAGAAGGCGTCTCCCTTTTCTCCGTTTTTTTTTTTTTTTTCCACGTGGCTTTATGAATTCCTGTTGTTGTTTTTTGTTTGTTTGTTTGTTTGTTTGTTTTTGGACAGGCTGTGTTAGTGAGAGAGAGAAAGGTCTTCCTTCCGTTGGCTCACCCCACAAATGGCCGCTACAGCCAGTGTGCTGTGGCCGGCGTGCCGCGCCGATCCGAAGCCAGGAGCCAGGTGCTTCCTCCTGGTCTCCCATGCGAGTGCAGGGCCCAAACACTTGGGCCACCCTCCACTGCCTTCCTGGGCCACAGCAGAGAGCTGGACTGGAAAAGGGGCAACCGGGACAGAATCTGGTGCCCCAACCGAGAGGATTAGCCTAGTGAGCTGTGGTACCGGCCCACTTAAGTTATTTTAAAAAAATTGCTTATTTGAGAAGTTCAGAGAGAGGGCCCAAGCACTGTGATCCACCGTTCCACTCCCCAAATGCCCACAGTGGGCAGGGAACCAAAGCCAGCAGCCAGAAACTTGGTTCTGATCTCTCATGGTGCCAAGAACCTGTCTACTTGAGCTTTAGCTGTGCCTTCCAGTGTGGTCACTGGCAGGAAGCTAGGGTTAGGGGCCAGGCATTCAACCCCCCGCTAAGCCAGACTCCCACCGTGCTTCCATTATCTTGTTTCCATTGCTGTTGTTGAGCACTTTCTTGTTCTTAGCAGACCGGGTGTTCTGAGTTCACCTGGTAACCCACCTGGCCTGGCTCAGTCATGGACTTGTCCACTTTGCCTGGGGATGCTGGCTCCTTTTAGTGGGGCCGGTAGTTGAGAGCTGGGCCTGAGTATGCAGGCTATTACTGCTGTTCTTGGGGTGTTACAGAATGTTACATGGTAACCTACGATTACTATGCTGTCCTTACTTCTAGACTTGAGTTGTCTAATAGGATACACACTAACCACATGTGGCAACTTAATTCTAAAATGAAACAAAACTAAAAATTGCTCAGTTGCAGTAGCCTTATTCTAAACTGGGTAGCCACCTTTGGCTAGTATTGGCGTGTTGGACCATTCGGATGGAGAATAGCTCCATCATCCCAGAATTTCTGCTGAGCAGCCGTGGGATGTGTCCTGAGTTCCTGTCCGCACTCCCGCGTGAATCCAGCTACATTCAGCAGTTCTTCAGCCTCACAAATTTCTATTTGTGTCTCTCTTCTCCCCTAGTTAAGAACCCTGGTTCCCAACAACGTCAACACATTTTTCCATGGCTCAGTCCTATAGCACAGAATTGTTATGTCCATGACTTGACAAAACAAGCCTACTAAAAAGATTAAAGATGTGTTCATATGTTGGCAGTGTTTTCTTCTGTTCTGGGGTGTAACAAAATCTCATCTTCAGAAGTCACTCCCTTCCCCTGTCAGTATTGCTATGTTATTTAGTATTTGTCTTAAATACACACAGGTATAGGAGTTGGGTCATGGGGCTGGCGCTGTGGCGTAACGGGTTAAGCCTCTGTCTGTAGTGTTGGCATCCTATATTGGCACCGGTGCAACTCCTGGCTACTCTACTTCTATCCAGCTCCCAGCTGATGTCCTGGGAAAATAGTGGAAGATGGCTGGCGCCGTGGCTCACTAGGCTAATCCTCCACCTGTGGCACCAACACACC